GTTGAAGAATTTCTTACGTCGCGGCGAAATCTTTGTTCCTTTTGAAAATAAATCGTTGTTCGCGCTTTGTCGTATCTCGTTTAAAAAATCCACTTACGATTAATATCTCGTCGACGATCGCTGCGATAGCGTTTACACACGTCGCGTCCGAGCGTTACCGGTGTTGTATCTCTGGGTTAAGTCATGGGTGATGCTCTACAAAAAATATTAGGATTTTTAAGTGACTACTATTTACAGTGGTAGATACAGGTTGTCCCGAAACAACGGGCCGCGAAACCGAGTGCTCCCCTACCGTACGTGCTCGTCCCGTACACCGTTCCGTGTACGCCGCGAATCGCACGACTCCCGTGCGCTCCGAGAGGAGCGCCCCTCGCCGAAAGGTCGTCCGAAACCTCGATCATTGTACTATAACACACCTTTCCTTTCCGTTATCCCGCCTTAAAATAAACATCGAATCGGAACCATCGTTCGAACCTGTCCCTTCTTTCGCGCCCTCGACAAGCGGAGCTACCGACAGACTAGATTATTCGAGATTCGAGTGGATCCGACGCGTCTACTTTTTCACGCCGCCCGCCTCCTTTCCCATTGTCTTTTTGTGCAACCCGCTGGTCACCGTCCTCGCCGCGTTCGCGTTCTTGTTGGCCTCGAACTTCTGCTGAAGGGACGCCACGTTCGACTTGCCGGTCGCCGCCCGTTGCACCGGGTTCACCTTGGCGTCCCCGGTTTTAGCCTCTGTCTTCGGGGCGAGTTTCGTCTGCGCGATCTTCGCCGGCTCCTTCGCCGGCAGCGGTTTGCTGGCGTTGCCGACGGTCCCACTCGTCGGTGACTTCTTCCTATCCGCTAACGTAGCTGCCGTCTTCGACGCGACGTTCAACGGCTTCAACGGCGTAGACGGGCTCTTGACGGTCTGCGTCCTCGGCGGCGCGGCGGCTGTCTTCTGCACGGCCTTCGGCTGGAAGCTGAACTTGCCGCTGTTCGCGAGAACGTCCGGCGACTTTGTACTGATTTGATTGGAATTCGAACAGCTCGACACTAGATCCGGACTGTTGAACTTTCCAGCGTTATCCTTAGGGCTACAAGGCACAGTTTTCAAAGATAATCTATTTACGGTCGCTGAAGTGTCCTGTTTGTCCCCAGCGCCGGGTTGCTGGGCAGTAGCTGTGGCGCCCGGGTTGCTCGAGCCTTGCCTAGACCCTTTCAAGCTGCCGTCGGAATGCTGCTTCGATCTCAACGCGTTCTCCAGACCCTGCCTGACGCCGGCCTCCTTCGAGCTCTTCGCGATGTTCGGCGGCGTCTTCGTTCGGCCCAGGACTGGCTTCGGGTCTTTACCGTCCACCTTGTCTTCTTCCGTCTTCGGATTGGTGGCACGCTGGATGGGTCGAGTCTTCAAGCCAGTCTTACAAGAGTCCGCGTCGCTGGCAGGCTTCATTCCCAGCTCCTTCGATATATCATCGTTCAGATTGGGATTCGACGAGTTCAGGGATGCTAGTTTACCTTTGTCGATCTGCCTAGCGGTCTCCGTCCTCTCCGGCGCTTGCCGTGGCACGTTCAGCACCGACGGGTTCAGGTAGCCGGAACTGGTCGTCGAGCTGGACGAGTTGAACTTCCCGGACGCGGAGTTCGAGTAGATGCTGCCCGGCGACTTGTAGTGCGTCGAGTTCACGTACGCGCCTAGCGAGCTGTTCGATCCTAGGTCCTCGACGTTCTTGCCTGCTTCTTCGCTCTCGTTCACTGGTTTGCGGGACAGCGTCGCCGTGGAGTAGATGGAGTCGAAGTTCCTGTTCGAGATCTCCAGCACGATCTCCGACAGCAGACCCATCGTCTCCATGCCGGGGTTCCCGGCGTTCTCCACCGGTTTTGGCAGTTTATATTCGTTATCTATCTGCTTGTCCTCCGGCTGGTTCTTCCTCTTCTCCGGAATAGCCTCCTCTATCACCGCGTAGATGTTGTCGCTGGTCGGTGACTCCTCGGTGATCTTCGTCAGGGACTCGGGGACAAGGTTCATGCAGTCGTCGTAAGCGTTGTCGATCACCTTCGGCGCGCTCTTCACCTGGGGCGTCTGGTAGCCTGGCAGTCCCGGGATCTTCCCAGATTCGTTGATCTTCTCCGCTGCGCTAGTAGCGGTGGGAGGTCCCGGCGGTGGAGCGGTGGGCCTGGTGCTCGCTGGAATACTAGTGGGCCTCTTCACAGGTGTCGTCTGACGCATAGACCCGAACGTCTGGATGTTTGGTCTAGGCGTGATCTTGCTGTCCCTCATAGACTGAGCTCGTAGCACCACGTTCTTCTTCTCCGTGTCTCCTGCGGTGATCACCGGTATCGCTGGAGTAGGGATCTCTATCTCCTTCTGGGGAATGGGGTTGGAGATCTCCAAATTCCTCAAGATCTCCTTGTCGATCACTTTGTTGGCTTTAAGGTGCTGCGACCTGGGTAAAGAGTTAGTGTTCTTCTCGTCCTTCTGGGACACCTGTAGCCCCCCTGACTTCATGATCCCGGAGCTGGGTCGCAGTATAGAGGCTAGCCTGTTCAGAGTGCCGCCTTTGTCAGGCCTCTTCTCCGGCTCTGGGACTAGCACGTTGGTCAACGGTGTGCTGTTGGGTCTTTGGGGTCGTTGAAGCTCCGCTGTGACTGGCGGTGCTGGGGCTGGTCTAGTTGGCGCGTCCATGGCAGGTCTGACAGGTGGTTTCGGCGCTACCAATTCTACAGAGGTGCATGTGGTGGCGGCTAGAACCGGGCTGCTGATCAACGGACGCGCCGTGCATCCGGGATTCAACGGTGGCAGAGTCGGAGCTGTGGAGGATTCGTTGTTGAAGCTGGACGTAGTGTTCAGCAGCGAGTTTCGCGGTGGATTGTTCTTCGGTAGGGTCCTGATGTTGGTCTTGATCGCCACGGTGGGGATCGTTGGCGGCGGTGGAGCCGGCTTGGTCGGCTCGTTGCCCTTCGACTGGCTCTTGATCGGCGTGATCGAGAACCCTTTGAACTGGCCGAACAGATTATTGTTGTAACGCTCGTCGGTCTCCGGTTTCGGCAATAAACTCGCGCACGCCGGGTCCTGACTCAGGCTAGAATCGATCGTTTCGATGTTACGGGGCAAGGGACTCGGACGGTCGATCGTTTTGATGGACAGCCCATTGTGGCCGCGATCGCTCCTGAAAATTTCAAGCACAAGTGTAAGCCGGGGGGAATTCGGGAGGTGTTCAAGCAATCAAACGCGAGCTGCACCGCGGACATCGTCGCCGGTTTCGTCGCCGGTTTCCCACCGAGATCGTTCCACGGGCAGGACGACGGTGCGCACTCTACGGCGCAGCATGCATTCAGGTTCTCGCCGCGTGCATCATACACACTCACGTGCAGGCGATAAAAGCGTCTCTCTCTCTTTTACCGGTGAGACGACTCGCGGAACGCATGCGAACACACGCGATAGATCGTTGCGGGGAGATGTTAGTAAAAGATTAAAGTGTTAGTAGCAAGCTCTTTGGAAGAAGGTAGTATCCTCTGTTTCACCCTCCGTGCCATTCGTTTTCCTTGATCAGAGAAGAAAATTCGGTACACTAGTTCGTGTGAAACACTACCGTTTATTGAGTAATTATTGTACAATCGCATTCCCGTCAGTGGTACAGCTGACCGACGTGAGACGTTTGTTCTCCTTAGTCTTTTTGCTTTGTCAAGAAGAAAAGATCGTTATTAATCAGAATATTACTTAAAAGTGACCGTTAATACTGTGACTCACCGACCCGACTTGAAGGGGACGTTCAGTAAACTTGAAAATGCGAAAGCGGTCGAGAAAACAGATTCACACATGCTCATGCTCGGCGTCGCAAGTTCTAGGCATGCTCTACGTCCACGGTATCGCCGATTTAAATTAACGCTAAAAGATCGTGTGACACACACCGTTCGACCGCACCTCGAGTCTCTTTTCGAGCTGCGTCGAACGGGCGATTAAAATCTCCTTCCTGTTTCCACTCAGGCGGAGAATAATTCTTTCATTGTTCATTCGTTTGCTAGTATTTCTCTCTAGGTGCATACTCTCGTATATGTATATATATATAAAATATTTCTTAGAATCGTATCTCGTGCATAATATCGTTACTTGAGCATGAAGTGATACACACGACGAAACGAATAAATAAACTATACACGCGCGCGCGACTCTTCTTTTAACATCTACGTAGAAAATAGTAAGTACAAAGTTATACACGCCTTCGCGTTCCGATACCTGCGAGAGCGTAGTCGTGCGTCGGGAGGGTTAAAAACGTTACGACGAAGACTACGCCTCGGGACGCGCACGCTTAAACGTTAAGTAACGCACGCGGTTCCGTGTCACTTTCCAACGAGAAAGTCCTGCGCCGTGGTATACGCTACTTCGGCCGTTTTACAACTTAAAAAATCACAGTGCATCGTTCCGACGTACTCTAACATCATTTGGCAACGACAAGGATTAGTCGGGGATCGATTAGCGCCGCCACCGTCGTTATTGTCAACCTTCTTCGTCGTAATGCTGAGGTCATAGTCTAGACGAGCCCTGTTCGAGGCGATCGCTATGACCTCCGCACTAAAAGGGGACTGTTTTAAGGCTGGGTTACCTGTGACAGTGATGTTAGGGATTACTAATGATCAGACTGCGGATCTTTATGCAAACTCCGATATTTAAGAACGTAACTTAAAAAATAGAATTTGATATTTCGTATCTTTCGTTTTACCGTATACCTCTAGTTGCAACGATGCACTCTCAAATTTCTGGTAAACGCATAAAAATCCGTGGTCCACTAATGATTCGTGAATGAAAAAGAATGTGTCGGGACTGGGGCAGGAATGCTTCAGATCTTTGGCTTGAGACTCTGCGCCGGAGCCGGCGGGGGCGGTGGCTTTTTGTTGTAGAAAGGAGCAGGTGTCTTGAGGTACGGTCTCTCAGCAGGTATCAAGGGCTCGCCCGTCGACGGCGTGACGCCGGAAGGACCGCCGGGGCTCTCGTTCAAATGCTCGAACTTGACCTCGGTTTTCAGCGTGAGCCCCTTCACGTTCTTCGAGGGTTTCTTCTGCATCTGCTGGATGCGTTCCGATATTTTCGCGCCTAACTCCGCTCGTAGGGAGTTCTTTCTCGGTCGGGACTCTACAGACGAAGAGGCTGCCGCGACGGTGGCGGACCTGTCGGACTCATAGTCGTCCGACTTTCTGTTCCCAGACGAGTTCTGGGCGGCGTCGATGCTCGCGAGCAGCATCGACTTTCTGTACTCGATGCTGTTGCTGCAATTGATCGCGTCCGGGTTAGTGGTCGAGATCAGGTCGGTCTTAGTGATCTGAAGCTTCTCTTTCGGCGGCAGATTATCGCTGATCGTGAACACGCGGTCCGCGTTTCGCGAGCTGCCGCCCTGCCGCGGCGAGAAAAATATCACCACCCTCTCGTAAAAGTTTTTACCGATCGTGTGGGTCGAGGGGCCGTCGCGCGACGACGAAAAGCCATGCGGTTGTCGCTTGCGTTTCTCTTTAACGCGATCGAAACTAGATACGTACGTCGACATCATTCCCTTCTTCCAGTGCTGGCCGGGGTTTCTCACGTACCACACGCCGAACATGGATAGCGCGACCATCGGTACGATCCCCAGAAAGATAATGTACAGGGCCATTATGAAGTCGTTCCTAGCTGTAACAGGTAGCGCGGATAGATCGACAGATTAGACCAGTTCTCGGTGGACGAACACAGAATGATCGCGATAAAATTGAACGAAATCGATTCACCATTAGGATCCTCAGCCGGACCGCTGTCTTCTGAACCGCCTACGCCTGGCTGCGTGCAGTCCGGCGGTCGGAAGCCGCGATTGCAATGACAGTGACCCAGACTGTTGCACACCCCGTTGCCACCGCATTCGTTGGGGCACGCGTTGCCGCTGGACACGGACGCGCGCAGGTCTGCTACTGACATACACTTCTGGTTCACACACATCTGCAGTATTTAGAAAGTTCAAGGATTTAGTCGTAAGATCCATTACATCAATGTCTACCGAGGAACATAACAAATCCCACACGTTACCTTGCCAGACGCGCACTTAGCTCCGTCAGGAGCTAAGCCAGGATCCACCTGGTTCAAGCCCATGTCCACGATCGCCGATCGACACGGTATTATCTTGCCACCGTTGTTAATGAACGAGTGACTCAGAATAGCTACAGACTCCATGCCGAACTCCAGCCTTTCGTTCAAATGTTTGCAGTGAAGCATTCCGCAGAGGAGATTTCTGAAACGCCCAAAGTTACTCGTTACGATCTAACTCTTTTCTGTTAGACAGGCTGCAAAAAGAGTACATACTCGTCGGTGCACTTGACATAGCTGGACTCTATTCTGTTGTACCCGCAGTTGCCGTGCTTGGTACCCTTGTTGTTCATATCGTAGCACTGGTCATCCGACGAGATGCCAGTAGGACCCCACAGCAGTTTGCACTGGTCGTTGTGCGTCCTGCAGGTCCCTTGGTAGCAGAAAGCCTTGCCCATGTTGCAGGACTCTCCGTCCATCTTGAACACGTCTGCGGGACAGTACTCGCTCTGTCCGGTACAGTACTCCGGCAAGTCGCACTCGTGCTCGGCGCTCCTGCACTCGGTGCCAGCAGTCTTCGGCTTGCAGGTCTTCAAGTCGCAGCACTCTCCGGTGGCGCAGCTCGCGTTGCTGTGCAGCATGCAGGTGGTCACGTTGCAGCAGGGGTTGTCGCAGTTCTCCTTCAAGCCGCAGTCGCACTGTTCGCCGGGCTCGACGAACCCGTTCCCGCAGATCGGGCTGTCAAACAGCTTCTGCGGCTTGTTCCTCAGACAGTAGTCCATACCGTGCTCGAACGCCAGAGCCAGATGCTCCAGGGAGCAGGTCGACCAGTGCGTCGGCCCCGATGAGCCGCTCGACGATGCCATGATGCATCTATAATCACGTGCGGTGTTATTACGCGCCGGCGAATCACGATAATCGGGATCGCCACCGTGCCCCGTCGCGCGCGCAGATTGACGGATCTATTTCGCAGAGGAGCGTGGGACTGAGGCACGACATCGGAGAGTCGGTGACCGGTTCGATAGGCGAATCGAGCATTGGATTGAAGACATCGGAAACGCAGAATTCTCAAGGTGGTCTTCGAGGATTTTTAGGGAAAGGAGTGGAACGGAGACTCGACTCTAAAGCTAGCACGTGAACTGGCATTCGAATTTCTTTATAGATACCATAAATCTATTAGGATGTCAATCTGTATATTAGTTCAGGCGTTACCGAATCAGCTTCTTTAATCATTTCGAACTGTAGATTAAGATTAGAATCACTGAAAATCTGGAATGACTCGATTCGACTCATCTGGCGGTTCTGATGTTAGGATGATACGCGGCGGGAGCAAGGATACTTTGACCTACTTTTCCTCGGGGCACTCGCAGTCAGCCGAGTCGTGCTCCATCCCGAAATTGTGACCCATTTCGTGGGCCACGGTCGCGGCTACTAATCCCACGACGTTCGAGTGATCCATGGAGACACCGCCGGAGAATTCGTACGTGCAGATCGGCCCCTTCAGCGCTTTCCCGACCACGCCTCCTTCGAACGTGATTCGTCTACAAGTTTTCAGAGGCGAGGGTTTCAGTTTTGCTCCTTTTCCGAACTTTCTTTCCTCGCGGATCTTGGAAACTTACGTCAACAGCTGCGCGTTATCGTTCGGTATGTCCTGGACCAGCTTCTCCCTTCTGTACCGGAGGAAATTTGTGAGGGTGGTGTCTCCATTCGAAGAGATGGTTATCTCGTCCGTGTCCGACCAGACTTGCACGCCAACCAGAGCGATGAATATGTTCAGCGGCATGTACAGCTGCAATGGGACAGACACATTTCGTTCATCGTTCCTCAAGACGTATCCGATCGAGCCCGCGATGGCAATTGCTACTAACCGCGTTCACTATGTTAGCGATGTCTTTGCAGTGTTGGTACACCTTGTCCAAGTTCTCGTCCAAGGCTACGTACTCTTTCTTGTCGATCACTAGGACCAGCTCCACGTACCGGGAACGTTTGTTCGCGTTGTAAGGCCCGCGGATCACTTCAGCCGCCCTTTTGTGCTGCAAGAAAAATCCCGTTTCCATGATTCGAGAGGAGATATCGGTAGTCTAGGATTCGGAAGAAGATAGGTGGATAGCTGGAAAGGATTTGGAAGAAGATAGGTAGGCCAGAAGATTCGAAAGATATAAGATTCAAAGGAAGATAAGTAGGTACCTATAAGATTGTCCAGAAGTCTTCAAAACTGGACAAACGTTAGTATTGCAAACGAAAGACCATTATAGCTAATCGAGCATCCAAAAGTCTTCCGCTAAGAAGTCAAAAGCGACCGGTGGCAACTTACCCTGGTAGCTCTGCTGACAGTCACAGGGTGGTGAAGAGTATGGTGCGGCGTTCCCTCGTAACCTGCGCGGAACAAAAAAGGGGCAAGATCATCGGTCGAGTTCTCGGTAAAGTCGAGGACAAAGAAGCAGGGGGAGCCGATGGAGTCTCGCTCCCACATTCGTTAAGACCGTTAAGGAGAGACCAGTTCCCGCGCGGGACAGGTCTTCCAGGTCTCCAGGAAAGGAGTGCGCGCCGAAACGGGCAAAAGTGCAACGCGGCTCTAGCAGCGAAGCTGATTCTTCTATTCGCGCTTTCCTATCTCGCCTTGAAGAACGAGTCCTTCGCTCGAGGTGGACGGATTATTCAAGGTTCGATCATTTGGGACACGCTACGCCAGCTTCTTAGATCAATCGTCGTAAACGTTACCGCAAGTGTGATTGCCGATGAAGTCGCTGTGCTTGTAGACGTAGTGGTCCGAGTCCAGGGATTCCGTTTCCGGGTGGATGTGGTGCAGATTCTCGCCATCGAAGATGACACCTCGCAGTCCTCTGCAAGTGGACAATGCCACCCAGGAACCGGGAACATCTCGGACGCTGCCCTGGTAGTGGCATAGTTCCTGCGAATTTCAACGGTAACGTTTCTCCTTTAGTCGAACCAAGAATGGAAGAAGCAGACGCGGGCGAGGACAAGCTGGACCGCGAAGGGGAGAGGGTTTCCGAAACCCGAGACCGAATTTTCACCGGCTTATCTCGTCGGTCCGTTACAAATATAGTTGGCCCACATTCTGCCGGTCGTCCTTTCCGTTTTGCTCTTTCGCGCTTGCTAGAAACCCGAAATGGGACGGGAAGAAACCGAGAATGGAACAACGAGCAACCGATTCTTCGACCCTCGATTCGATCCAGGAATCAAGCGACACCCGGGGTTCCGTTACATCGATAATCCCGCGAGGAAAGGACAGGCCGACCGCTTTTGTTACTCGCCACGGTAGCTTTTACCGTGACGGAAACGGCGGTCCAGCTCGGACGGGACTTCATTTAGCCCAGGGTTTCTTCTCCAGCGTTTGGAGAGGCCACGGGGAGGGGGAGGAACGGGTCAGGAGAACAAAAGGCAATAATTTCGACCGCGAAAACCCTCGAAGAGCGCTCCGGCGAGCACGATTCGCGGAATTTCTCTCATTTAAACGGCTGAAATTAGCTCGTCCGCTTGTCTTGTTACGGCTGGCGCAAATAATCCGTGACGGAGCGCGGAGAGAGAGAATCCGGGAAATGGGGAGGGCCGCGGACAGCGTGGCTGGACGTGCCAATTCATTTATTCAATTGCGTAAAATGTGGAACCGACGACAACAGAGCGCAACGAACTCCGCTCGGTCGATGAAACACGGCCGAGCCAGCCGCCCGTCGCCGCGATGCTTTATGCGTGTCCATTAACCGTGAATAACGTCCCCGGCGAAAATTTATATCGGGTCTCTTGGAGGAAAAAAAACGACGAGAAGGAAAAATAAAATCGTTTTTCACGGTGATGCGCGAGCGTGCTAACGGGGGGAACGCGATTTTCAGCTAGGAAGACGAACGATCACGGAAAGTCGCTCGGCAACGGGGAGTGACCGGACAAAGGCGATGGTCATCGCGTGCACGATGCTCGCCGGCGTTATTTAAGAGTGATCGATACTCTCGAAACGTCCCTAGCGTCCGTTCGCAGCTCTACACGCTGACTCTTGTCCTGGAAACGCACGGCTGGCCCGTGAGTCACCGTTATCGATTACGGTGCTCTTTGCACCTGTGTACCTTCGACCGATGTTTTCCTGGTTCGAATTGGGAGTCGGACACGGGGACACGGGAACCGAAATCAAACGGGGAAGGGAACGCGTGGAAAGAATGGAATGTTTCCACTCACAACTTTCGAGGGGGTGTGAACTTTGTAGGTGCCTTCGTGCTGATGACGCTGCTGATAGCCGACTGGTACGAGGTCGGTGTTCAACCTCAGGTCTAGGATACGCTTCACACCGTTCAGCTCGAAGCCTACCGTCAACACGTCCGCGTGGTCGATGTCCTGGAAGCAGAAAGTAGTTGTTTAGCTTGTTAATCGATCTGGCAATACAGGTGGTTGCTATTAGTTAAAGAAAGATCCTTAAGGAATCTAACAGTCTCCTATTGCCTAAAACACGAGAAGATCATTAACCTAGCTTCGTTCCCTATCACCCGCAACGCGAAAAGATCATTAGAGAACTTAGCTCGGTTGCCTATTAAGTGAACTCGAGAAGATCACTAAGGAATCTAGCGCAGCCTTCTGTTCTCCAGAACTTGACAAGATCACTAGAGAATCCAGCACGGTGGCCCGTCACCTAGAAAGCGAGCAGATCACTGAAGAATCCGACGCCAGTCTCCTATCGCCAAAAGCAAATCAACTGCCCGATAAAACTGCGAGCCGTCGTTCGAATGCATTATAATCGTTTCGGTGCTCGGCATTATGCACCTGTTGCACGCGCGCGGTCTGCGCGCCCGCCGAGACGAGAGTCCAAGATAGAAGAGGAGACGCTGGGCCAGCACGCGCGAAGAAGGATCGATTCCTCCGGAAAACTCCGGCGCGCCAATTAGTTTCGATTAGCCGGGCTCGGGGAACGCGCACTTTCTCCGTGTTAACGGTTCGACGATAAAAACCTATTATTCCCGGAGCGGGCACGCGAATCGCGGCTTTCTAAAAAGATTTCGAGCCGAGTGCCCGGCCGATCGTGCCTCGACCGCCACCAAATTGGATGAAACGGTGCCCGCTTGCGAAAACAACCGTTCGCAGCCACGCCCCAGTTTCCACGTCGAACCTGCGTGCACGCTGATGGATGGCTAGTAAAGTGAAATATCTTAAAATTCGTAACTAACAACGATTCAAGAAATGTTCATGAAGTCGTGAAAAATATCCGCCTCTGGGGTGAAACAGAGGGTGAAACAAGGGTCGAACTGATTCAATTCTGCCTTGGTACCTGCGTGACTCGGTCGAGGGTCGAACGACCAAAAGTCGACGTATTGTTGCCGACTAACTGATTGTCACTGAAACGCTCTACATAGAGAGACCGGTCATCGAACAACCTACCGACCGAAAAGTCGATCGAGTCCCTCGTTTCAAGGGGCGAGCCGAGTTTTTTCCGTGGACGCGTGCCGGCCACCCAAATGAATTTACGGATCTCGTTTGCGCCCTCCGCCGCTCCACGGACCCGACCAGTCGGTCCGCCCTCGAATTCACCCTATGTTTAATTCATAGGGGACACGTCCCCACGGCCCACTTCCACAGGAAATATCACGGAACCCGTGTACGTGTGTGCACGATCGCCTGTACGTACAATTCCCGAAATACGGCAAAGCTTCTGGCACAACAGCCGGCGAAGGATCCCGACGGAGCGAGGAGGGTCCTCGAGGATTTCATCGACCGACTTAACGGAGTTCGCGACGCCTCCTTAACGCGTCGTTATATTCGGAACTTGGAACACGCGCGACGTCTTCTTCCCTGAATACAAGTCTCCGATTTGAGGTGGGAAACGTGTTTGACACTGCGCTCTTAGCACTGGGACTACCGGATCGCTCGAAATAGCCTATTATCGAATCCTTTACGATCACTAGGGAGGTACAGGTGCTTCTTGAGAAATTATTGAAGAAGTCGATTTAGTAATACCCAAACTGTAATATGAAATAGAAATCTTAATAAGTACACGTTTATAGTTTCTATACAGAGAACTTAAGAAGGCTAGTGCTAAAGTCTGGACTCGTTCCCGTTTTCTTAACGCCGTTTCGTTTGTACGGGGTCCTTCGAGTTGATCGTGGCCTCGTTTTGTCCAGGATAGCTCTAGATTTCAGAATATTTCAAGAAAATTGGCATTGGTCTTCAACTTTCTTGAATATATAGATAAATTAAGTACCACATCAGAGCTAACACGTTAGGGGACAAGTATCTTTCGTTCATTTCTCCGTTTGCTAATGTCGTTAATCAATGATTCTCTGTCACTGATGACTGTAAACCAATTCTCCATTGGTCCATCGATGGAACATCCCCTAATTGCCGTTGATAACGAAAACCTGCGAGTTCGCTTGGCCTAACACTGATCGTAGCCTTAAGAGAGTCCTCATCCACGCTGACAAACAAAAAAACTTTATTCTTCCAGGGTCGCGCGTCTCGTATATTCCACGCACGCGGCGAGGATGCAGTCGGGATCGACGATAGATGGATCCGCGGATAATTCCACCGGCGTGGATTCTATCATCGTCGCGCGACGCGACGGTTAGCGATCCATACCTGGCCGGCAGCCAGCGGCCGGGCAAACGTTTCTCGATATTCCGGTTACCGTTCCGCCGTGACCCGCGCTTATTCCGAGTCGATATCGGGAAAACAAATGTACCGAGGGGTCAGGGTTGGTTTCTCCTCGGCCAGCTCGTCAACCATCCCCCTAGCAACCCCTATCCCGCGCCCCGGGCTAACGAATCGCGGCTGAGGTCCCGGCGAATCGAATTTGAATTTTCATCCCCCGAAAGTTCCTCGCTTTCCCGTCCTGAATCAAGTTACCGATTTACTAAATGAACTTTGTTTGAAGTTCCCTAGAACTGAATTGTCATCTAGCGGGGTCTAGCAGTTTAGTAGTAGACTGTAGACATTTATAGGAAATTTGAAAGCGTAGAGTAGTGATTTTTATAACTTAAACATTATAAAGTTATAAGTTATAATATTTATAACTTCAATTAGAAAAATTATAAAGTTAAATTTGCGTGAAGCAGTCTAGCGATTAATATTTCCCTACACAGACTACAATCCTCACGAAGCTGTATTCCTTTCACAATTTCCATTTTCCAAGGTTCACCTTCGAACAGAAATAAAATCCATCATGATTTTCAAGGAATATCGAATGAAGGACATTTCCTACGCACAGTCTTCCCCCCTCGAAACGGTTCGAGTTTCCCCTGAAATTCGGTTAGCAGGATCACCGTAATAAAGAGCCTGCAGGGGTGAAAAGGAGGTTCTCCCCTCGAGGAGGGAGGCTGGAGTGATCCTCTATACCCGTGAAAGTCATCCTCGTGTCCCTCCTCCGGTGCGAACGTCATTGTATTCGATTTCCCCGGTTTACTTTCCGCGGAAAACGAGTCACGGAACACGGAAGGGAAACACGACGGCAGCCGGCGAACCCTAATCAAGAAACCCCTGAGCCTCGGCCGATGTTTCACGGATATGAAACCTATTCCTGTGCAACGGCCTCGCGGCAGACTGTTGGCGGAACGGAGAAGCAAACAGGGAAAGAGAAAGAGACGGAAAGCAAGGGGTCAAACGGAAGCCATTGGATGGAATTAAATTGAATCGACGCATCGGTCGCAATAACGGTGCCTGCGAGCGCGAATAGCAACGCCGGCACCTGGTTATTTAAATACGCTAATGACCCGTGAAGCCTCACGGTTTTAATTGCACCCGGTACTCGCTGGATCGGCGGGGTCGCGGAGCGAATCGATTCGCGTTCTCGTCGATCAATCGGTAGAACGACGATCCACGGGCGCGGATTACCGTTATCTGGCTGGATTCACCGGATAATTTTTCATTTCCCGTTTTTCAGCGGTAGCTACAGCGGTCGGTCATCGTTGGTAAATGAATTTGTTATCGAAGTGAATCGTGCCGCGAAAAAAAAATTTCAATTTGATACTGAGTACTTAAGCAATTTAATATTTTACTCCTTTGTGTCTGTGTCCTCGTTGGTTTGTTTAAATAAAGAATTCTTTATAAACGAGACACATTTGTCATTGTGAGACCAGTGCTAATCCTTGACTAGAAGTTCTTTGTAATCTCTTAATGAATCACGGATACACTCGTCACAAAGAAATGGAAGTTTTAAGTGTAGTGAGTATATTACTGATTTAAAGAAAACTAGTTATTTTCTTATAAGTTAATTCAATAAGTTTATTTTGTTTGACGAGTATACTTGTCAACGTTTTAACGACCTTAGCCTTCGGGGATTTTCATGTCGTCCAGGTGCATAAGGTTAAAAAGCAGCACCACAGACAAGTTAAAGGGTTGACAACGTAATTCGCCAATTTTCACAAAGTGAACTTAATCGCTGACCTATGAATAACCGGAATACCGTTGCCATCGTGTCGCCGCGGTCTAAAGAGAGAGATCAAGCAGCTTTCTGCCTCGGCCCCATTGAATCCATCGATTCTCGCGCGCGACGCCACGCCGCAATAATACGGCATTACGCCATAACGGCGGTGAATTTATCGCGTTAATTTCGAAATAAACATCTGGCCGCGAGCGTTCGCGATTACCGCGGCCGATCCATCTGCGGTTAACCGGTTGCGCGAGCGCGCGATGCGGCGCGTCGCGACGTTAACGTTAACGAAAGTAACACGGATTAGCGGTGGCTAATTGTTTAGAGCCATTGGTCGAGCTCGGGTCGGCGAGTAATATAAACGCGCCGGAATATTTCCGCCGCGTTTATACACTAATTCTATTCGCAACGGATTGTTTGCACTGTAATTGTAAGCTGAAACTTTCAAAGGGTTTTCATCCCATGGAATTTTAGCTACAATTATCTCCAACATTATAATCACTTCATATCCCAGTAAAATGTTAACCGTTTGCAGTCGGGAGGCCTCCAGTGACCACTAAATTTTATAGCGTAATTATAAAATTTGATAACATTCAGCTTTATATAACGTGTCGATATAAGAAACACTGAAATATCTTCGTGCCGTAATTTCTTTTCTCGTTTCTAAGAATTCTCATCGGGAAATGTTGAACATTCTCAGTGAATTAGTGCAAGTTCCTCAAATATTCTTATACGGATCAGAAGAGTATCGTTTAAGCTACATATAAATGAACATCGATGCGAGACAGAAAGTCGCTAAGATCTAATCCGTGATCCATTAGTGGCAATGTCGAGATTCATTTGCTGGTGTTATCATTACGTTCCTCTCTATGTCGAACAAGGGGGCTACTATGGGCTAGCTAGAGCTCTCATTGTTATTACCGTTATCAGTTATTCGGGCTTCCCAGAAATTGGTTAACGAGTGCATCGCGCGGTTGCGGCGCACAATGTACGGCAACGTGCACAGAGGAGGTCTTTGTAGGTGCGCGGCGCAGAATGAAAGGCATCTTTTAATCTCGGCTCGTCGACTAGAACCGGGGCTAGAGGAACAAGGCGGAGGAAGGAACAGGCGTTTCCGCGTCCTAGAAGCCCCGGCGCGCCGCCAAAGAACCCGCTACCGCCGACGTCGCCATTTTTCGAAACGATTAGCGTGTAATCTAGCGAGGAAAATTTCTTTTGTACCGGACGTGGCATCACGGTCCCCACGTTTTTCCCGACTGCATGCTTTCCGGCGTCTTTATCGGTGTTTCCAGCTTCCTGTGGCTTGCCGATTCCGTCCTCGACGCGATAGTTCTTAAGTGTCTTTAGGTGTTTTAGATATTCCACCATCCCGATAAAATATTCAGCTTTCTTACATGAACAAGTGAAAGAAGTTCCGGTGAAAGAAAGATGACTGCTAGAAGGCGTTAAACCCCTTCTCCTTGGGACTCGTGATAAGAATAATATTTATTCTTAATGTAAAATATTACTCTTCTATTATCAATCTTTTAGAGTAAACGTAGACACAGAACAGGTATCGAATTCTTTTCTTTTTGATAGATTAGTAACGATAAAGTAGTCTTATCGAGCACTGTTGCGACAGAAATCATAGGACAGTAGTTAATAAAATATAATTTAATAAGCAGTCTATCTTTCTGTCGCAAGTTTTGATCGAGGTATCTTCTAGAGAGCTTTCAGCGTGCATCTGCGCCATAGTCCCAAGCGTTCGCTTAGCATCGACATATTCTCCAAGAGTTTCAGCAGAAAGCTACCGAGGCTCGCGATCAACCGTGCATTTCGCCGAAAAATCTTTTAGATTTATTCTCATAGAGGCGCCACTCCATTTGCCTTTGTACCCTAAAACGCGTGAAAGGAATGCGCGCGCGAGAGATCCCTTTGACCCAGCTCGGCTCCTCTGCTTTTCTTTCCACCGCGTTACACCCTCGCGACCATCATCGAGCTGCGGCAGCGGGACGAACCGGGAAAACAACGTCTCGAAAGTTTATCGTGCGGTGCATTGCCCGATTTATCGACCCCGGGTGCGGTTTATTTCGTCCGGATCCTCTTCAACCGCGGCCGGTGCGTCAAGTTCCTCCTCGTCCGAGGAAACTCCGTCTTATGAATCCTCTTCTAGCTCGTCCGAGGCTAGTTCTCGTCGGCCATTGTTGTGGACCGTGTTCTCGCGGACAGATTTGTTCTTGCACTTTCTTAAGCGAGTACACGGCGAGAGTGGCTCGAGAGGATTCCTCTTCACGGCGAGCTACACGCTCGAGAGTCGATCTCCAGCGAGAAGGAGAGATCTCACCGAAACTGGAGCCGTTATCTTCGTTCAACGCTAGGTACACGGATGTTTATTATACAGCATTCTACCGTTCTTAGGAAAATTGGCGTTCGTTCACTTGGATCTTGGAGATTAAAGGTTTAAACGCGGACGATAAGAGCTCGGGTAATTGTATCACTGGAGATCGACGTGAACAGCTACCAGTGTTCAGAAAATTTAGAATGCAAATTGGTGTATACCTAGTGTTAAGGTATTATTACTATGATGCATTACAAAGAGAATGACGGATAATGTTTCACAGGGTACGCGGAGAGTAAACGTCTCGGAGGACAGTGAAAAATTACTTCATAGGGTTAGAGGATGGTAATATCCTAGGGTAGGGCTTTCGCCGGCGTGCAGCTACACCGTATTCTCTTCGAATAAAGTTTGTTTGCCGACGATACACAAGGAAAAACGTAGTCTTCTTAAAATAAACTCGCGACGCGACGAGATGAAGTGTGTTTTGCCGCGTTCCCCTTATCGCCGGCTTGTAAAACGCTCGGCCGTACCATCCCAAATGACCGACAAGCGTTTCGCAAGTTCGCGCGATCAGAGCAGGCGGGTTGGTCCGAGGAGAATCTTATCGCGGGGAATTAATCGTCTGCGAGTTGCGACGGATAACTCTACGACCCACCCTAGGTAACAGGAAATTAGATTCATTGCCGCGGACAGACGCGCTGATAGCGTTCATTCTTCCCCGTGATAACGAGAAACGGGGTCAACAGCCTTGCTCCGGCGACGCCGATGGATCTCAGCTTGTAGGATCCATGAAACACGTCGGATAACTTAGCAAATCCACGTTTAGATCCGTTTCCGACCAGCCGAGAAGAGGCCTCGTCTACCAGACAGTTAGCTCTCAGCTCCAGCAACCGAGGATAATCGAGTTTTCGAGTAGGTAATCGCCTAAAAGCTTGGGATTCGCCAATTACCGCAAGGTCTGGGCTCTAGATATCGACAAGCGGCAGATACACGCAGCTCGGTAACAGTGGCGTTCATTTATTTAGCGTCGAGAAGCTGGATCTCCGCGGCGTGTAGGATCTACGAGCATCATCAGACAGCGAATTCTCGTTTGGATCGGTTTCCGATCGGCCTAGAAGGGGTCTCGTCTTCTAGACGGGTAGCTCTCAGGTCTAGCAACCGAGAATAATCGAGTTTTCGCGTTGGCAATCGCCTAAAAGCCTGGGATTCGGCAATTACCATGGAGTCTGGGCTCGAGATATCGACAGGCGGCGGATACACGCAGCTCGGTAACGGGAACGTTCATTTATTTAGCGTCGAAACGCTGTTCAGCTCTTAAGGGGATCCGCGGCAGCCCGTTCAAAAATAGCTGGCGCGCAACACGCGTCTCGGGAACATCTGTTTCTCGAGGTATCGACCGTAAGGAGGGCTACAACATCGGCGCGACGATGCTCGCCGGCGAGAAATCGTTGTACAACGAAATCCTGCGTATCTCCACGCGACGACCTCTCGGCTACTGCAGGCAGGTAGGTCACAGTTAACGCGGGCAAACCCGGATTTCGTATTCGCGGCGCGAAGGTACCGCGACACGGCATTTGCATCGAAATTGTTGCACCCGCCGGCGACTCGCGGCCCGCATTCTAAAGTCGCGAGCTCGCGAGTCCAAGATCCGCCCCCGACGGTGCTACGAATTTTGAAGCTTCCGCTTCGAAACGATGTGATCCACCTTCCGCGGATACTGGGTCATTTTGATTCGGTTACACCAATATTTCGGGTAAATAACTGATGGATGGAGCAGATAGATATATCATTACACTCTGGCCTGAACTGATTCTGCTCTAATTACGAGACTACACTGGAAGTTTCTACACGAGCGACTCCCGATTGATCGATCCTTTTTGAGTTTTGAATTGGATGCAATCTTATCGCCTATTTACTCTACGTATCTGTTTACTTATTTATAAAATCGTCGCATCGAAAATCCTTGCGTAAACGTTCATCTTTCGATTGATCAACTATGTGTATTGAAAGAGATAAAGAGACCTATTTCACGTATTAATAGTGTCAACAATGTAGAAACAAGGTAAATATCTTATCAAGTCCTTATTAACTCTTCGAGTAGAACTATATACTTTCAAATTTAACTTCGTACAACGCATCACTATGTGGAACATCGAAATAAAATAGTACATCTCATCAGAGAACATTGAATAATTCCAAAGGGAAACTTCCGAGTACAAAGGGTTAAATTCCTAGCCTAGCAATCTGATCTACAAATTCGCTGGATCAACGAAAGGCACTCACGTTCTCCTTGGTCGTCGAGATCTGCCGCTTGGTCCTCCCATGATAAATCCGCGGTCTGACCAGCGCGTGCCTGCCGAAGTCGGGGGACGGTCCTGCGAACAGAAACAGACGAAATCGTTAGAGAAACATCATCCCCCGTTACCCCTTTGTCAGCGCGCGCGCTTTTAACGAGCGAGAAAACGAACCGTTTGAAGGGGAAAGAGTTTCGGGGCTCTCACCCTAGGCCCCGGCCGCGGTCGAGGGTATTTCAGTCGCTGGCAAGTGTCCCGCGGGAATATGCTTTTGTCCCGAAAATTTCGCGCGCTGGAACACACCGACGTCCAGGCCAGTTCGCCGTGCTCGCGCGCTCGCTACTTTCCACGGTAATTACATCGAGCGGAGTCCTTGACATCGGAACGAACAATCGTGAGAGAGATGTGGAGCTGCCCCGAGGGCATCACCGCTAACTTTCGGAAGCATCAGCGCTGTTAGCGCCGTTTTTTGGCCAGCGAACGGTATAAACGAGCAGAATCTAGACTTCAGCAAGATCTGGTAGCTATTTACGATGATGCTCTCGAGTTTTGCATCTATAGATCGACTAAAACACGGCTCGAAGAGCACAGCTTCTACGTCTTCGGTCTTTTTAGCCAGACACGCTATCTCCCGGACATCGCAGATGTATTTTCGACTGACTCTTCTTTGGCAACTTTGACCCGCGAGGCAATCACCGACCGGAGATCCTGCTCTCCGGGCAAAGTGAATCCCTTGCGCGAGATCACGGTCTAAAAATATATTCGTCTGGCCATTGATTAGAGCAGTGGTTCCCAAACATTTGCTTCTCTTTTTAGCTGATTTTCCAAGAAACCGGGATTCGTTCAGTTTGCAGTGTTACTTACGACCACTTCGTAAATGAAACACTTTTAATCAATATTTAAACCGCATATTCATATTCTTCGCTATCTACAATATAAAGAACCTCTGTATAGAGTGACTATAGAATGACTTAGCTTTGATCCGAGCATCGTCAGCTCCATAATTCCTTCAAGGCGTTATTCTAGGTCCTCCCGAAAGATAATCCGCGAAACGAACAGCGTGGCGCATAGGTGTGCATCCGAGAAGATAGAAGACTCGAGCCGCGCGCATGATTCGTCATTCTGTCCGGCACACGCGGAGTCTCGCGTGGGTCGGCCGAGAGCGTAGGTATTAAACGGTCCGTAATTACCGCTCGCTTCTCGCCCGAACCGAACGGTACTCTCTCCGTTCGCCGTCTGCCGCGTTTCACCGGCTGTACCTTGTTTTAATCCTACTGCTTCCTTGGGGTCTGCTTTGACCCAATCAGGTTTTCATTATCTCAGCACCGTTATGTTTGTCCAGTCTTTCTTTCAGTCAGCTGTGTTCCCGTTTCGACCGGAACACGATGGATTTGAATTCGATAATGGCAGAATGTAACGTCTGGTTTCGATGTTCCTATTTGGTTTATTATACGACAGAACATACAGCGAAGAAATTATCCTTGAAGTTTACGTGAAAAATGGTGTCACCCGAATCCGGGTGACGCGGCAGTCGAAGCGTTAATCTAAGAACCAGAATTACGGAGTTCACGGATACCCGAGACTCCGGATAAAATAGCGACCCAGTTAACTGGGGTCCTATTGTGTTTCAAATGTATATATAAATTGAAGACCGCTGCAGCTTCACTCGAATTCTAGTACTCCCCCTCCTCCTCCTCCAGCGTCCATTCACGTTTTGTTCCCGGCTGGAACAAAAGTCCCGGCGATTTTTGCGCGCGGACGAAAATATTGCCCTCGAATCCCGGGGAATGCAACGGAGCCTCGGGTGAATCTCTTCATGAGAGAGGCGGGGAAAGAGGCGAAGAGCAAGAGTAACTCGGGGAGTTCCTTCAGCGAACAAAGTTTCAGCCGTCGGGCGACTGGAATTTATCAAGGAATTCAGTTAGCACGGATTTAACCGAGCAACCCGTAATTTGCATCCCCGGACGAGCCGCTCGAAATTGCGAGTCGGCTCTGCCAGAAGAAACCGTGCCACGGATTCCAGGTTCGAGGCTGGTCTTCGCGCGTCGCTGGTTCCTTAGGATTAAACGCTCCAACGTCCGGAGATCAAAGTTTCAGGGCAAAAACTGTAGGGTCGTTTTGCGCGCAGAGTAGTTACTCGAGAAAGGGGTTGATCGTGAAATTGATGAACGTCGGTTTACTACTGTTCGAGAGTTCCTATTGATCCAATGAAACCTGTTGGGGGATGACGGTGTTCGGATTAACGGCCGATTTTGATGGGCTCGGTACAGTGTCAGTTGCAGTGAATTTATTGGTTAGTGGGATTGATAGCGATGCGGAGAAGTGTATTTTATTGTAGCTCGTTTGGTTTAGTCTTTGCGAATATCCAAAAATAGATGTTTAGCTAACGGTTCTAAAGATATTAACTCTAATAGACTCAAAGCGATTTGGCAACCAATAGACATTTTACTAAAATAGAAGACATGGTATTACTTTATTTTTAACGTATTAACATCTTTAAAATTCTTGAAATTGTTATCACTGTATTTCTAACATGCTAAGATACTCCAAGTTATTTTAGGAAACTTTTGTGTAGCGCAAAGATTCGGTGCCTACTCATTAATGCTTATCCAAGACGACGGCCTTCCAATCGGCCTCACAGGCTTATCGATTCTGGCTCGCAACTAGCGAAACGTGAAGGCCGGATCCAGCTCGCGATCAATTCGGCCGAGGTCCACGCGGCTGGAAGCGGTTGTTCGCGATCGATCGCGACGGGAAGTGGGTCACCGTGGAATTTTGATTGGCCGTTTAAAGCTCGCGGGTGGGCGAGGATGCGAAAACGGCGGGCACATGTGCGCCGCTTATGGGAAGGGAGATTGACGTCAAGAGGGTGGCGCGGGAATCGCAAAACACGGGAACCGCAAAAACCCCCGGCCAAATGTACCAGCGGAAGCAGTGGACCTGCAAGAGGAACCTTGGTCCCGTGACGCACGCGATGCGTTAGCCTTGGCCGCGTGTCGTTTTCGTAAATTTGAAATTTCAAGTTTCAAGTTCCAAACTAAAACGTCCAAATTTCAAATTTTAAGTTTCAAACTTCAAAATTCGCGTTTCGCCACTTAGCTCTGAATATTGCCTTTGATCCACATCGATCGAAGCGTCCATAGTTGCACGTTGACGAATATTGAACCTATAATAAATATACAAACTTTCTAATAAATAAAGTCCACCGTTTCCGTGTACAAATCACTGGAAATTGCGTGGAGACAATTGCAACAGATTAATCCGTCGATTCGAAGCGGCCGACTGCTCCGCGAGCGTTCCCCGATAGCCGGGCACCGGTCGACCACCGAAGGGTTGCTAATTGAATCGCGATATCGCGCTCGTTCGATCGCGGGCGTAACGCCGAAGATCAGCGCGCACCGGGTAAACAGCTTTCCCGCGAACGCCAACAACAAACCGGGCCGCTCGATTAACATACTCGGTTCTCGATGCTGGATGCTCGTGGCCGGCGAGTTCAATAGGTGCGCTAACGATCTCGTTACGTCTGAATCGTAACCGGTTTACACGGGTCTCCGCTACAGAGGAGGCATTATCCCTTTCACGCCGCGCCGCTCGATGTTCGTCCCCAGCAGACAAACGCGACGGTGAATCGCGACTCGAAAAACGACGCGAGATCTAATTGGGTCGGCCCGAATTCAACCGGTAATTGCTTCCCGATCCCGCGACGGATTTAAAGCTGTACGGTTACAGCGTTCGATTCGTCGTTAATTTCCTGTCGTCGAACGCCCGGGAGGAAATCAAACCTCGTTCTCGCCGCGAATCGCGAACGGGCTGCTCCGACGAGTCGATAATCGAGCCGGATGAATCATCTCGGCTCTGGTACTTACACCGCAGAAATCATCGATCGTTCCACCGATTCCATCGAATTCATCGGTGCTCCCTGTTTATTCGAAAATTCTTGGATCGCGTTTCAAAACAAGCCACTTCGCGAAGATCGAGAGATTCCGCTGGCCATACGGCTCGCGCGAAGCTGGAAAAGTGGAGCAGATGAGACGAAAATACAATTGATACGACGACGTTAGCGAATTCTCCAGGGTGTGAGTCAGTCGGACAGTTTGCACAACTGCGTCGCCATCGGCCTGCCTGGGTTCTCCGACGAAATTCGGGTTAACGACGAAATCCGACGCGAGAAAGCGAACGTAACAAGCTTGAAGCGCGTTCTCTGGCAATGGACCGTTTCGGAAATTGATTCGCCGAGCAAGGAAAGGAGCTAAGGAACGGTTTGCATCCGTGAAATCCAACTTCTGACTGTGCTTCGACGAAGATCACGTTGAAGATTAGATCCTTGGAAGGCTGGAATCGAACGAAAATCGAATGCAAGCTCTCGAACCGCGCGAGCTGCGAGTAAAAGCTGTGGAGAAGTTTGAGAAACGCTGTCGGCGTTAACGACGTCCGCCGTAAAACATTAGTATGACAGGGAAGGGGCGCGGCAAGGGGAAAGGAGAGGCACGAGGGAATTAGCGACGGTCAATTAGGTCGTCGTTAATTCGGTGTACGGAGCGCATACGCACTCGCGACCGTGCGCGCTGGTTCGGGCATATGCGAAGGCGGATCTGCCTGTATCGTTGTTCCCAGGCGTATCGCGATTTCACATGTGTCCGCGGAACGAGCGAATATCCTTGGGGGGCCTGAGAAAATTCGGCAACGAGTGATCCTCTCCGAAACTCTGACGTCCGTGCGACGGCGTTTCAGTTGACCGGAGACGAATGAGAAACGGAAGAAGGATTCGTTGAGTTGCTTTACTTATGGATACAGTTCTTTGAGAGTTGAAACAGTTTTAGAGGATACTTCTTCGAAAGTAAAGTAGCTGGGAACTATTCTCGAACTATCTCGAGACTAACTCTTGACTATCCTCTGACTATCTCGAGACTACCTCTATATACTATTCACTACACCATCTTCAACGAATCCATCGCAGTCCACTACTCTATTAAGCCTGCAAACTACGATTCCGATCGAATTATAAGTGACTAATTGATAGATTAATCCACTGCATCTCTGACCCCCGATGAACCCGGCCGCAACGACGGCGGAACAATAAG